CAGGTTTCTGGGCCATACTGGGGGTTACTGGGTGCTCACTGCAGGATCACTGGGCCATACTGGGGGGCAGTGGGAGGTCACTGGGACACACTGGGTGGTCACTGAGGGGGTTACTGGGCTCTATTGAGGGTCACTGGGGTATACTGGGGCACTGGGATCCCCTTACCCAGATGTGGTACATCTCCCTCCCTAGATTTTTGGGGACACCCACAGGATCCCTCTCCTGAGGGCTGGGGGACCCCCTGAGCCCCACTGTTGGGCTTTAGGGGACCCTCAGGCCCCCCTCCCTGTGGGGTCTCTGTGTGCTGAGCTTTGGGGGTCTCTGGGGCTCAGGGGGGGAATTGGGATCCCCTTTCCCTGGGGTCGGTCCACCGACATGGAGACCCTATAAAGTCCCCTCAAAACCCCTGAAATCCCCTCAGAAATCCACCTCTGGACCCTTCCAAACCTCCTCAAGGGCCCCACAAATCCCCTCAGAGACCTAATTCCCCCTACCAAGACCCCCTAAACCCTCTCAGTGACCTGCAAAACCCACCTGGGACCCCCCAGACCCTTTCAGAGACCTCAAAAACTCCCTCAGGGACCCTCAAAACCCTCTGGGACTTCTGAAATCCCCCTAGAAACCTCTAAAACTCCTTCAAAGACACCCCTCCAAAGCCCCTCAGGACCTCTCAATTTCTCTCGGGGACTCTCAAACTCCCTCAGCGATTCCCAAACTGCTTCAGGGACCTTCAACCTCCCCCTAAGTCCCCTCACGACACCAAACCCTCTCACAGACCCCCAAAAACCTCCTCAGGGACCCCTAAAAGCCTCTAAGGGACCACAAAACTACAGAACAGTAAAAGAGCTTTCTGTAAAGGAAGGGAGCAAAGAATCTGAGGAAACCAAGGAAAAACTGAAGCAAAGCAATAAAATCATCCTGGCCCTTGCAGTTTTTCCTTCACCTTTTTCTCTCTTTTCCTTTTTTTTAGGGTTCTTTTTTTGGTTGGGTGGTTTTGAATTTTTTTCTCCGAAGGAATTTCTCACGAATCGAATCACCCTTCCGGGTTCTTGGGAGGCCTCCGGGCCCCGCGGCCCCGAGAGGGTCCTCCGAACCTCCGAACCCCCCGCTAAACCCTCCCGAGCCCTCCAGCCTTTCCCCCCACAGCCGCGCTCCCCGCAGCCCCCGAGGGGATCCCCAGACCCCGCTCTCCCGCACCCCCCGCCTGCACTCAGAGCTCACCGACCGACCCGCCGCCATCACCGATTCCCGGCAGCCAACGCGGCAGGGGCGGGGGCGGGGCTGCGGGGGCGTGGCCGCGCGCTGATTGGCTGCGGCGGCGTTCTCGGAACGAGGTGCGCGCGCAGCCGGGAATCGGTGCTGGCGGCGGGGCCTGCGGTTCGCTCTGAGTGCTGTGAGTCCCCCCGGGGGGGATCGGGAGGGTTTAGCGGGGGGGTTCGGGGATAACCGAGGAGGTTTTGAGGGGTCCCTGAGGGAGTTCGGTGTCCTGAGGGGACTCAGGGGGTGGTTGAAGGTTCCTGAAGGGGTTTGGGGGTCTCTGAGGGGGTTTTGGTTTCTGAGGAGATTTGGGGGGTGCCAGGTGGGCTTTGGGGGTCTCTGAGGAGGTTTGGGGGTCCTGGCGGGACCTTTTAGGCAGTTTTGGGGTCTCTAGGGGGTTTACGGGGTCTTAGACGGTTTTGAGGGTCTCTGAGGGGGATTGGGGGGTCCCTAAAGGGGACTGGGGGGTCCCAGGTGGGTTTTGCGGGTCACTGAGAGGGTTTAGAGGGTGCTGGGGAGGGATGAGGTCTCTGAGGGCATTTGAGGGGACCTTGAGAAGGTTTTGATGTGTCGAGGGGGGGCTTTCAGGGGTTTTGAGGGCATTTTGGGGGGTCCCCTAAAGCCCAACAGTGGGTCCAGGGGGTCCCCCAGCCCCAAAGAGGAGGGGTCCTAGGGATGGCCCCCAAAATCCGGGGGGGGAAATGTACCACATCCGGGTAAGGGGATCCCTAGACCCCAGTATATCCCAGTGACTTTCCAGTGACCCCTTCAGTGACCAGCCAGTGTGTCCCAGTGACCTCCCACTGCCCCCCCGGATGGCCCAGTGATCCTGCAGTGAGCACCCAGTAACCCCCAGTATGGCCCAGTAACCTCCCAGTGTCTCCCCGTGTGTCCTGGTAATCCCCCAGTAACTCCCCAGTCCCTCCCAGTGCCCCCTGGTTCCCCCCAGTGTGTCCCAGTATCCCCCAGTGCCCCACAAAGCCCCCCAGTTGTCCCCAACATGTCCCCAGATGCCCTTGGCCTTTCTGTGACCAGGGTGGTGGGGTGTTTCTGTGGTCAGAGGGTCCAGGGGGGGCTCCTGGGGTGAGATGGAGGGTTGGGGACATCAGGGATGGGGTTTGAGGACAATGGAGTTAAGTTTGGGGACAGTGGAATTGGGGGTGTCAAGGGGGGAGTTGGGGCCATGAAGAGGCCCTGGGGACATTGGAGACACCAGGGGGGGTCTCAGGGTGTCAGGGGAGGAACTGGGGACACCAAGAGGGTCTTGGGGACACAAGGGGGGGTCTCAGGACTCACCTGCTCTTGGTGCAGCCCCTCCTCTGCCCGCCCAGGCCTCATTAACCCCTCCCAAATGTCTCCTAACCTCCATTTTCCCTTTAATCCCCTCCCCCCATAGGTACCTCTGACCCCCCAATGTTCCCAAGACCTCTTTTAACTTCCCTAAAGGCACTCAAAACCCCCAAATCCCCATCCAAACTCCTCAGATCTCCCCAGATCTCCCACAGCCCCCCCTCAAATCCCTTCCAACCCCCCCAAAGAGGGATCACCCGGCACCCTGGGACAGGAACACAGTGGGCTGTACTGGGGGCACTGGGCTGTACTGGGAGGGCACTGGGGGGGGCTCAGGTGTCCCACAACAAGGTGGCCCAGCTCCAGGAGAAATCTGGGAAGCAGTGAGGAGGTACTGGTCTGTGCTGGTCTGTACTGGTCTGTCCTGGTTTGTACCCCCAATGCCCAAAGCCCCTCCCCAGCTCCCCCAGGACCCTCCTGGACCTCAAAGCCCCCCAGGCCCCCCTCAGGCCCCTGACTTGGTCCTGCTGCCCCTTGAGCATCTCCAGCTCCTGCAGAACCAGGCATTTCTTTGCTCCCCACAGGGTCCTTCCCACACCCAGAATGGAATCTGGAGGCAGCAGGATGTGCACAGGGCTCCCATTTCCTGCAGTGCAAAGGGGCTGCAGGGAATGATTCCCCTGCTCTTGCAAATCTGCCAAAACCTGCAGGGCACAGAAGGGGGAGCTTCAGGAATTTGCTGGCCTTGGGAGTGGAACCAACAGGGTATAGAGAGGAACATATCCCTCAAATACTCAATATACTCTTCATACTCAATATCTGTCTGGACAGACAGATAAAGCAATAATCAGATATATTCTGTATCATATCTATGGCACATATTCTACAGAATCCATCCTTAGGTGTTGTATGATATATCTATAAGATATTACAAATAATAAGCAATAACAAGGCATTTGTGCTTCTGCCTGTCTCACACACACAAAACAGTCTTGTTAGTGCTGCCCTCAGGAAACCCCCCCACCCTTGGTCCAGCTAAAGCCGTGGAATTTGTCTTTGTTTCCCTTGGGTTCAGGGTCAGGCTGTGCCTGTGTCCAGCCCAGAGGCTCAGAAAAGCATTTCTCCAGTCCCACTGTAATCTGCTGCTGCAGACAGGACCCAGGCACTGGTGGCACTGGGAGTGAACAGCAGAGTGTTTCCAGGGGCTCTCTGAAGGAACACGAGTGTCCAAAGAAACCAGCACAAGTGTCCACAGAAGTCCCAGTCCTTCATCCCTGAATGAGCTTGTTCAGCCCAGGAAAATCTGTCTAAGTTTTATTTCCATGGAAGGAGGTTTTTCCCATGTTAACACCGGTTTAGTTCCAAACCAATTTCTTCATTTCCTCCTCCCGATTTCCCTGAAGGACACTGACAGGGGCCATGGACACTGACAGGGATCACAGAGTTTGTCCCTTGGCCATACAGCTCCTGCTGTTTGGCAGCACAGGAGAGGTTAATTAGAGCCCAGGCTCCAATCCCAGGGTGCGCCTTGAAGACGAGCTTGAAATCAAATGACTTTCCTGCTGGAGGGTTAAATTCAGTCGCCATCACCTTTTCATGGGCTGAATCTTCATATTTTGGAGTATTTTTTAGCTCAATCTCAACTTTTTGCAGTTTGGGGTGGTAAGGGTCTTCTAGCTATTTCTGAGGGGTTTTTGCCTGAATCTTGTTGGTGGTTTGAGTTTTTCTGGGCTGAATCTTGGTGTTTTGGAGGTTTTTATGGTCACAGGATGCCCGGTGAGTTCTAGAGATGGACTTGGGCAGGAGGAACCCCCAAGCCAACGCGCTCAGCCCTTGTTTTCCCCCCATCAGGATTTGTCCTTCCCAAAGCTTGGGCGGATGGAGGAGGAGGCTGCGAGGAAGAGGAAGATGCCTTGGTCCCCCCAGGCAGGTGAGGAGGAAGTCAGTGTCCCTTTGGGCGGGTGTTGTGCTGGCTCTGTCAGCCGAGCATGGCCCCGGCTGCAGGCCAACCCCGCTGGCGCCGCCGTCCTGCCGGGGCCGGAGTTGGGGGGATGTCCTTGGCCTTCCCTGTGGGCCGGAGGCAAATCCCCTGCCTGTCCTTCTTGCTTCCTGCCCCAGGCCCCGAGGTGAGGACGGAGAGCCCGGAGGACAAATCCCCCCGTGAGACCCTGGTGGGAGAGGCCGTTTTGAAGGGCTCCCCGGCGCAGGAAGGCAGCGGGGAGGAAAAGGGCCGGAGATCCCCCCGCAGGAGGGGCTCCAAAGCCATCCCAGGGTGCTCTGAGGAGGAAAGAGCCAGCCTGTGCCGGGAAGGCGGCCGGAGCTTGAGGGGGAGCTCTGACCTGGTGGTCCCTGAGCAGCCTCCCAGCAATGAGAAGCCTTTCAAGTGCTTGGAATGTGGGAAGAGCTTCAGGCAGAGCTCTCACCTCCTCACTCACCAGCACATCCACACTGGGGAACGTCCCTACATGTGTAGGGAATGTGGGAAGAGCTTCAACTGCAGCTCTAGCCTCAGCAAACACCAGCGTTTCCACACTGGGGAACGGCCCTACACATGTCAGGAGTGTGGGAAGAGCTTTAGGCAGAGCTCCGACCTCCTCAAGCACCAGCACATCCACACTGGGGAACGGCCCTACATGTGTGCGGAATGTGGGAAGAGCTTCAGGCAGAGCTCCACCCTCTGCACCCACCAGCTCATCCACACAGGGGACCGGCCCTACAAGTGCTTGGAATGTGGGAAGAGGTTTAGGACCAGCTCAGATCTCCTAAAGCACCAGCGGACGCACACGGATGAGAGGCCCTTCCCTTGCACCGACTGTGGGAAGGGCTTCAAGCAGAATTCCCACCTCATCACTCACCGGCGCATCCACAGCAGGGAGAGGCCCTACAAGTGTGGGGTGTGTGGGAAGAGCTTCACCCAGAGCTCTGCCTTGACCGAACACAAACAGACACACCGCTAAGGGAAGCCCTGTGAGTGCCCCGACTGCGGGAAGAGCTTCGGCCGTAGGACTGACATTTTTGAGTATCTGCACTCCAACATCAGTTTATTCTTTTGAATATGTGTAAGTTTAACCTCATTTTAGTCTGAAAGCCAAATTCACCACTACCCCATTCCCTGATAACCGTGGGCTGATTCTGACAAGTGAGGCACAAATTACCCACTGCCCAGCAAAAACCAGTGGGGCCAGCCAGTGGTCTCTGCCCTGGCAGCCCAGTTTCCCCAGTCTCATCTCAAAATGACCAGTTACACTGAAGCAAAGAGCACTGGAACCAGTGCAACAAGCCCCAGTCTGACTTTCACACCTGCCCACGTGTCCTGTTTCTGCTGCTCTACAGACTTCCTTGTTTAAAATACAATGGAAAAATGAACAGGTTTTGGGGTTGTTTTGTTTTTGGGCTTGTTGTTTTCTTTCCTCCCACTGTTCTCATTAACCTCATTTCAAATCTATTCAGGTTTTGAACATGAATTAAAATTTTAAATGACTTTTAATCTTAATGCTTTGACCAAAGTATCAAAACATGAAAAATAAAAAAAAACCACCACAAAGCTGTCCCTTATTGTCACAATCAAACACTCAGAAGTACTAACATAAACACAGGGAAACCCCCATAAATAAGACCATTAAAATAATTTTAATATGTATATGTTATTATATTTTTAATAAACTTAACATAAGGAAATTTAATTCCTGACATCAGCTTTCCTCACCTCTCAAAAAGGTAATTTAGTTACATCTTAGTCACCCTTGAAAGGTTCTTTCCAGTTGGGTTGGTCTCTGCCTTAGACACTCATGAGATCTGCCAAAACCAATTTAAGGGCAAATTTCCCCACCAGGTTCAACTGCATTGGTTGTACCAAAAGCTTTGCAAGTAACCCCACAACTTTCATCTTAAACTCTTCTCTTAGCCTTGTAAAATAATTATCAGTAAACAGACCTGGTAATGTGTTATAATTAAGAATTTCTTGTTCTCAGAGTTATTCATACACCAAAAAGATGCCACAGGAACGGCCAAAATATTAATAACAACTTCTACACTTTGGAAATCTACATTTGGTTTAAAAGATTTCACAGTGGTTGTTTCCTTAGGAATTCAGGCACATTTTACTAACAAGTTTCAATAAAGTTACAAGAACATCTTCCTCCACTAAGACACAGGCAGTCATCCCAACCTGAGGTAGGCACTGAAAAGCCCAATTTTTTTCTTAGCTGTCACGAGTCTTTCATTCCTTCTGCCACATCAATTAGGCATCAGCCCATTTTTCAAGCTGCTGTTACCTACCAGCTCCTGGTTTGGTTTCCAAGCCCAGTATTTTGGCCACGATAAAATCAGGGACCTGGGCAGTCCTGTCAGAATGACAAAGAGTACTGACCCTCCCTGCCAAGGGAGACAAACCATTCCCAACCTCGACCAAAGGGTCAAGGCAACGATTCTGAAACAAAATTTACAAAGTTTTTCTCTTCAGTTTTTTGCTGAATACCATTTTATTTGAACATTTATTTTTTTTAAACATTTTTTATATATTTACATTTTTTTATATTTAAGGCGCAGGAATTCAAATTTATATTTGGGTACCATTTTATTCAAATATTTATTTTATTTAAACATTTTTTACGTATTTATATTTTTTTATATATTTAAGGCAAAGGAATCTGAATTTATATTTGGATACCGTTTTATTTAAACATTTATTTTATTTAAACATTTTTTACGTATTTATATTTTTTAATATATTTAAGGCAAAGGAATTTGAATTTATATTTAAGTACCATTTTATTTAAACATTTTATTTAAACATTTTTTATATTTTTATTTATATTTTTTTAAATATATTTAAGGCATAGGAATTTGAATTTTTTCTGGATACCATTTTATTTAAAAATTTATTTTATTTAAACATTTTTTACATATTTATATTTTACCATCAGATGTTCTGTAAGCACAGCAGTCAAAGCACAACTCATGTAGGTTTGGGTATTTTTAGCTAAGGCTGTTTGCCAGGTTTCTCACATTTAGAGAGGAATTCCCAGTAAGATGTGACTTTATTCACAGATGCACTCTTTTTTGGGTGTTAGTTTGAAATTATAAACTGTATTGCATTAAGCAAAGTATGTCAACTTCAATAAAGCTTCAGTAAAGTGTTTTCAAGTATTTTCCCTCTTCTCTTAAACAAATGGAAAATAAAAATCGGTGCTTCAACTAAACATTATCTGTGCTCACCAGAGAGGGCAATACTGGATCTTTCAGGATCCACACATTTGGATGCTTTTGCAATTGGTGTTTGAAGCAACTTCTTTTGTAGACAACTGTTTCACCAAGTAAATTAAGGCTTTCACATTCAGCCCCTCCCTTTAGGTAAGGATTACAAACCAGAAAAGGAGGGAAGAATTACTCGGTGTGTAACTGAAAGGCCAAAGTCCTACCCAAGAAACCAGATGTGACAACAGCTCATTTACAACCCAGTGAGAAAACCAACAAAAATGCACACAGAAAGATTCAGGAGTCATGTGAAGATGAATATAAAAATGGAACATGAGTCACATGTTTTAGAGATTCGAGCAGATGACTGGGGGCTAGAAAGGCGTCAGTGGATGGCACAGGAAGAGTTTTGAGGAAGAGCTGGAAGGAGAAACATGGCAAGAAATCTGCTGTTCTACACAGACCTGCAGTGGGAAAAACAGTCTAAGACTTCTGAAGGAACAAAGTAATAAAACTCACAGAGCCCAGGAGTAGAAGAGATTCAATACTTGCCAAAAAGCATCAAAACTAAGCTCATGGACACGCATTAAAAACTGAATTCCTCCAATTCATGAATTCCACTTTTTTGCTTCAGGACTGAATTCAGTGATATAACTGGTCCAAAGTCACAAAATGTGGCAGGGACAACAAAAGGTCAAGACCAAATTCCTTTTAGTTAAAGAAAACTGGAAAAGATTCTGTTCCCGTATTCATCCAGTAGAGATGAATAATTTTTTAATTATTAATTTTATTTTTTCTACTCAAGCCTGCCAATGTTGTGGGTTTTTTGACTATATGAGGAATGATCTGAAGTCTATCAGCTCACAATTTAATTTAAAAAGAAATAAAACCAAACAAGCAGAAAACCATCCTGGCATTACATATCATTTTGTGCAAAGCCAGACCTTTGTGAAGGTCTTTTTTTAAAAAGCTAAAAAGTAAATGGTTTTAAGGAAGAACAATTTACCAAGCCCTTCAACCAAGAGCAGCTATTTTGCTTACAGTGACCAAATCAATTCCTCCACACATCTGCAGGGAAAATGGGATATTAAACCACTTGAATTAAAATTAAAAAGAATAAAGAAATCCTAAGGACCAAGCATTAGACTGTGAGTATTACACAAGTCCCATCCCTGAATGAAAAAAAAAACAACCAAGCATTACAGATGACAGCATATGCTACAAAAGACATTTTATAAAAAACTTTCAAGTATCACCAGGGAATGTGTTATCAAAGAACCTGTGCAAACCACCCAAGAAATTCAGGCCCCGTCCTGTACACAAATCCCTTGAGAAATTACCACCAGACAAACACAGATAACCATAGATTGCTCTTACAAGAAAAGGCAGCTCCAAAGAGCTCAGAAAAGTAAACAAGGGACAGGTAAAACTGCCTTTATTGTAATACCTGTTCAGCACAAACAGCATCAGGGCAATCCAGGAAAGGTGCAGACCATTATGACTGAAGTGCTCAATTTTGTATTTAGCATGGAACATGCAGGTCAGCCAAGATCTGCTCCTGACACTGCGGGGTTTAATTTTAATCTTTAATTTTGCTATTTTTTGAAGAGCAGGTCAGTTAAAAGTTGCAGCTTTAGACATTTCAGGATTTAACATTAGGAACACAAGTCTTGGGTCTCACAGGCTCAGTCCCCTCATTATCCTCAGACTGGTCTTGCCTTCATTGTCACAGACTGTGCAATATCTGTGGTTTTGACCCTCTACACTGAAAATTCCCATGGGATTTCAGATATGCTCCGTTGTTCTTCAGGTCTGAGATCATTTCTAAACACCAACTCTCAGTTCTCCCAGATCCCATCAGACAGTTACACAACCCAGTTCCAGAACACACTGTCACACATTTGCACATCAGCCCTGTTTGCTGCAGGACATCCACGATCATGGACACGTCCATTCTCTGTAAATATTATCTGAATTCTGCCTTGCACATCAGCAGTGACTCACTGCAGGTAAAGGTTTAGTACAACCTGGAGAGACATTTTTATAAAGCTTTGCAAAATTGGCCCATGATTTTTTACATGAACGGGCTGAAGGCTTCATCCAAGCCAAAGAAAACAGCTGCACTCAGGTGTGGGTTCATGACTGTATTCTTTAATTATCACCATCAATTATGTAATTTTAAAAAGCAAATTATCAAGAGTGTTTTTGAGATTCTTGACACAGGTGTCTTCACAAAGACACCTTGTGCTTTGAGGTCCTGAGCACGCACTGAGGTACCTGAGCATGGGAAGCTGCAAAAAGGAACCAGTTCAGGGAGGCAAACGAGCTCTCCAACTTTGAATTACACAGTGGGGAAAACCTGACTCAAAGGAAACGTGTTCCTCTGGCTCTAAATGCAGAATCTCAAAGTGTAAAAACAAATTATAAACATTAGAAAGCTGATTTGTTTGTACTGCAAGGAGGAGAGCAAGATGTCTCGTAACGCTTTGGGCTTTAGAGTCAAATTTACACCAAAAAGAGAAGTTTTAAGTTTATTGTAGAAACAATTGATTGGAAAGGAAAAGCTTATGAGTGTCCCTAGCTAATGAATGAATACCTTGAACTAAGGAAAAGCACTTCTGAAGTGTGGTTAGACAATGTCCTTAGGAGATGGCAATTCTCAGAGCACAGCCTGGCTTTACTACGTGTGACCACGGTCACTGCAGGTTGTTAAAGTTGTATGTGAGTGACCATAGAAATCTTCAAAGGTGCAGGAGACACAAACATTGCTGTAGTCAGTCAACAAGGTAAAACACTGCAGCTTAAATGTTTAATGCTTATTTTGAAAAAAATTATTTCCAACATAATTTAAAAAACAAACAAACAAAAAGGGACACAAAACAAACAAAAAACCACAACACAGTATAACATACCTGGCACGAAGAGCACAGAATTTTGCTCAAGGACTTTTACCCAACCAGTCATCTGAATCTTTGGAAGAAAAATATGCAGTGAGAGCCTTTAAAGAAAAAAAAAAGGAAAAACAAAACCAGGTTTGTCTGAAAACAAGGTACAGACAGATCTCACCTACAGTCCTAATGTTCTTGACTGACAAACTTGCTGAAAACACAGGTGTCTTTCAATTCATAAAAATGTTACCTACACTACAATAACAATATTCTATCTTTGCC